CGGACCGCGCGGGCGAGTTGGACCGAGCGGGACTCCTGGCCCGGCCGAGGCGCTGATCCCTTCCCGATCGATGCACAGCCCCTCCGAGGCGCAAGCCGCCAGGTCAGTGCCGGTCCTGGGAACGACCGGATCCACAGTCTTCTGTTGCTGTTGTTTTAATTTTAACTTTAATTTTTGGTATGTGTTTGCAGTGTGTCGTGATTGCACTCACTGCGGGGAGTCGGGCCATGTACAGAAAACATCTTAGTACTTTTCTCAGCCCCATGTCTCGGTCCTGTTCCCACCTGCCAAAGTTTGATCTCCCTGACTCCAATTAGCTATCTTTTATTTTGCTCTTGTTTATTTATACTTGGGGTTTGTCATATGAGAGAAACCCTGCGCTATTTAAGCCTGCGAGTCTAATTTATTTGCCTTGGATTTTTATGGTCTCAGGGTGCACCCTTTGTAGTCTCAGTGTTTAAAGGTGAAGCCTGCTGAGCTCCAGGAATGTAAAAGCAAGATTTAGTTCCTGCAGAGCCAATAATATAATTGCTCTTTTAAAGATAAATTCTGAGCTGTACCAAAGAGTTCTTGGACAGACACACAGATGTGCAGTTGTGTGTGCTTGTGTAAGTCAGAGAGGGAGTGATTTTGATGGAGTAAAAGTAAGACCCCCTCTGGCTCAGTCCCAGTGTATATCATTGATCCATGAGGACGCTGCTCTGGAACTTGTGTGATTATTTGAAATGTACAGGATTTCAGTTGAACAGACTGTTACTGAGCACCCACTGTATGCAGAAGTATCCAGGGCTCGGGGGTTGGTAAAAGAAAAATGAGCCCCCGGCTGCTGGAGCTTACACTCTGTGAGACACGAGACATCATAGTGCTTTACAAGGAAGGCTGATAAGGGACAGGGTGGGGAGAGGGGCAGGTTGGGATTGTCTCTGGTAAGTCTCAGACCCGGGGCATTTATACCTCACTTGGATTGCTGGTAGGACAGAGAGGCAGAGGTTTGTGCCCCACCTGTTTTCACAAGGGTGAGTGGCAGTTGGGAAAAGTGCAAATGTTGGATTCAGTAATGCAGAAGACCAGAATATTGATTATGCCCAAAGCAGGCTGTGAAGAGTGAACCCCACAATTGGCTGTTTGTAGAAACAAGTCTGGCCAAAGCCTTAAGTGCCGAGGTCAGAGTAACTCCCACCCAGATTCCATTCCCACAATTAAAATCTCCTCACTTGAAGGACAGTGTTGTGATTACAATTATATATTTTGTCTGTTCTGTTCCTGATTCCTGAATGCTTTGTCTTGTCCTTTACGAGCCTTGTTTAGGTTAATTTCCATAGAAACCAGTCTCCTTTACCCCAGTTGATTGCTAGTAAAGTCAGTGCCTGAGACTGGCCAGCACCTTTGTCAATTGCATGGGCATTGGTTGTCCTGGCCCTGCTTTCTCTCTCTTAGTTGTTTCTCTTAGTGTATCTTTTTTCTCAGGCCTGTGTCATATACTGGGCAGGTGTGGGGAGTGGAACCTGACAACAGGAATCTCCAGCGCAGTAAAAACAAAAACCGTGAATAGTTTGGTGTCTGGGATGCTTTTTTGATGGATGAAAAGCAGGGTGGGCTGGAATTCAGCCTTAGCATGGACAGACTGGCATTTTTGCAAAGGAGTATGGTCCAGCCCTGGTGCTTTGTTGGGGGCTGGAGAGGAAGGAGTCCGCAGACAGGGCTGGGGGTGGTGTCACACCACTCCCTGCATTGATACCAGGTTTCCTGAGAAGGTGGGATGGATTCTGGATATGTTAACATGAGTTTATTGATTCACCTGCTGTGTGCCAGGTACCCTGTTTGCATTACTGGTGCAGTCCTTACCAGCTTGTTGAGAGGGGAGCTACTGATCTGCTTGGCACTGTAGCCTCCCACTGCCTGGTGGCCCAGTGTACGTGCCCAAGACTCGTGCCTGGGAGGGAGGGAGACAGCTGCAGATGTGCAGCCTTCTGCTCGCACGGAGGAGATTTGAAACAAAAAGTGAGCTTGCTACAGCAGGAGTGCCGGGCGTGGCTTTGGGCCGTTTCTGCTGGTATGAGGGTGATGAGCCTGTGGTCTGCTCGACTCCTCGATCTTCTTACGGATGCTGGTGGAGTAGGTGTGACTCCGTGCCTGCACACTGCTGTGCTCACGACACGCATGCATCCCCTCGCTTCCACACCCCACCTGAGGTCGCAGACCCCATTCTCCGAGGTCTGGCGGGGCCAAGATCCCCTCGTACTGTTCTGAGTGTTGCCAGCCGGGCACCACATCCCTGCGGAGGAACCGGATCCTGTCACGTGATGGTCATGAGGCCCTGTGTTCCCAAAGGATGTTTGAACTTTCTTACATCAGGGTTTTGTAGCTTTTAATCTTGAGGACGACCACCTAAAAACTGACCTAATAGTTATCTATAGAGATAAGTAATACTTTCAAATTGTATTTAAATTGTCGTTTCAGTCTTTAAAAATCATGACTGAAATTTAACAGTTCTTTGTGCCAGATTTGTTGCTCGCAATAGGGATAAAAAGGTATATCTCTTAAAATGTGTATAACAAAAATGTTAACTTCACCACGTGAATCATAACATACGAAATACCAGCTAAAAGTATTTGGGGTTAAATGACGAACATGCTTCAATTTGTAGGAGAGCAGTTTTTAGAGAGTTGTTGTGACCTGTCTTAAATTTAATAATGCTTTCCATTTATTTATTTATTTATTTGACAAAAGTACAGTGTTATTTTAAAGTCACATTTATTGGACAACTACTTTGTGCCCGAGAATGTTCTGGGGTGACAGCAGTGAACAGAAACCCCCCAAATACTTCTCTTCATCAGGCTGAAACAGACAGTGATCAGAATTTTTAAATACACGCGTTGCATCAGAAGGTGGTTTGTGCTGTGGATAAAAACACTGCAGGGGGGATCGTGTTCTCCAGGCTTGGGGGTGATCGCAGTGGTAGAGGTGACAGAGGAGCGACCCTGATGCGTGGACTTTTGACTTGCAAATGTATTTCTTGGAGCAGAAAAGCAATGAAAAAGCAGGCTCTGGATATAGGAGCTATTTAAATAATATACTTCAGAAAACCAGCGACGGCCTGGATTACACTAGATGGGCGAGTATGGGGCTGGAGGCTCATGTTGAAGCTGAGGCTTTTGCTCACGGGGTGTGTGTGTGTGTGTGGGTGTGTGTGTGTGTGTGTGTGTGTGTGTG